AAAGTGTAATAAATACTTTTTGTGTTCAGCATATCTTGGATTTGATATTATAGGGAAAACAAAACAATTAGAAACATATGAGTAATTTATGAACATCTGTGCCTTTGCAAACAATACACATTTATTTTAATTGTTCAATGTCTCCTAATCAGAGGCAATAAAGTGCAGGCTGCAGAGTAAACACCTGCAAGTCGATCCAACATCGTTTCCTCGCCTGTAAAATGTAATTTATTGCGTTTGATTGGCTGTCTGAAGACCTGTCCTGCTGGTTTGTGTTTATGCTCTGCAGAGCAGAATAATGTGTAAATAGCATTGAGCAGAATAATGTGTAAATAGCATTGAGCAGAATAATGTGTAAATAGCATTGAGCAGGTTTTGTGTTTACACAAATGTTTTTGAGTCCAGGTGTTGGCAGTGCTGGAGAAAATGACATGCCTGTTAGGACCCTTTTGTAAAGACACTGATGCTAATACAGCCAAAGAGTGGAAGTAAATCAACATCCTCACTTTAAATGACAAATTGTATAAAAATCCAATAAAAATCAGTCCTGAAAACCTGTAAACAACCTCTTTGAAAATCAATAAGGCATGAGCTGGTGAGCCAGGGAACCTGAAATCATTTGTTAAACAACACTAGCATACTTTATGTAAACAGACATGGAAAGGGAAAGATTTAGTCAACGGAGAAAATAATATATCACTGAAAAGCAGGATGAGCAGTGCAGGAGGCCGAGGGACAAACAATTAGAATATCTTCAGTAGTGAAGAATAAGCAAAGACATTATTTCAAAACAATTCTGTATATATCCATAGCGTATAATAAACAGAGTCAGGGTCTCAAAGCCTGGTGTATTTTCTGGATGATGGTCTGATGAAAACGTACTGTAAACCTCTCTGAGTTGGTGTCAAGGTTGAGAGCTTAGAGAGTCATTTATCATCAAAACTCTTCCATTGAATAACACTATAGCAGCAGCATGATGAATACCTCCACTCTCTTTTGAATGCATACATGTAACCTTCAGTAGCAGCGGAGCCATTTGTAGTGCTCCCACTCTGCAGAACATTTATGACTTTATCGCTTTTAAACAATGGTGAGTGTGTGGGCTTGTGAACATGTCATCATTCACTGATCTGTGTGTAGGAAGAGAGAGAAAATGCTGTGACAGTGATTATAACTCTATGGTAGGTGAAAGATAGCACTAAATGATATGTCTTGTTCCTGTATGCATTATAGTCTATTGAAGATTCTGACAGAGTAAAATTACCTCCTCTGCTCACTGTTGAACATCGTTACAGAATAATAATCTTAACAAAAGCACTTATTTTTAGGAATAAATACAGAAATGTGTGCTTACAGATAAGGATTTACTGAATACTGCCAATAGCTCCAAAACTCACAACGACCACCGGCCAGGCTGATTGTCTGTCTGTTCATTATTGCATTATTCAAAACAACATCGTGCAGAGGTGTGTGCTCTCTGTGTGCTTTTTTACATTGATTGTTGATTAGTACAGTAGGAGTTCTGTTCCTCTAGACTAGAGCCTTGTTTTAATGAAGGTCTACATGAATAAACAATTGCTTCACAGATCAAAACTTGTCTGAAATGATCATGTTGGGGTCATAAAGGGTCACAGTGAGATAGTGAGTCAGCTGCCTCCCCCACAGCCTGCAGGCTCTCACCCTCCTGCTGCCTCACATCAGATCTGAGGAGGAATGCATTACCACCATCAGAAAGGCATCTGTCCAAACTGCATGTCTTCAGGTCTTCGTACACACACTCACACAAACACAAAGGACAACAGTATACAGTAGAGGATCAACAACAACACCCCTCCCAACTCCTCTAAATTATATTTGTCACATCTGTTGCTACATCGGCCTCAGGCGGCTCTGCTTTGACTGCCGGTCAGTTTACTCTCTGTGTGTTTATGTTGAGACGCTCTATTTATTCAGGTGTGTAACTGAAGCAGAAGAAACAGAGAAAGGCTGCATGCCGGGAAGCTGTCTTTCCTTGTATCCTTCATGCAACAGTGTAAAGCAGAACAACTGTGGTTTCCAAACAAACAAAAAGCTCCACTCTGGTGAACCAAAGTTAAAGCTTTGTGTCAAATACAAAACATGTGCACGTACGAGGCTTCACATGCTTGTTGTGAAGATTACAACATATTTCTACACCTTCATATTGAGTGTTTATCGCTGCTCGTTTCTGGTGTATTCAACCTTTATAATTACCATGATACTGACGTCTGTTGTTGTTGACGTCTAGGTGGTTTACAAGCTCTAATACTGTTAGGACATGACTTACCAATGGAAAGAGGATGATTATAGTTACAAACCCAAGTAGCATTTTCCCTCACTCATCCCTCAGCTCAGTGTTTTGGTTGTCTGAGAGAAACTTCACTGTTTGGGTTTCAGCCCTTCGCTCTAACCAGCGTCACATCCAGACACAGCAGCTCCATAACCCTCTGTACACTACCTGCTCAGCACTAACCCAAAGACAAACACAGTTAGTGACTGTCTGGTTACACAGTGCAGCATTTAGCAGCTAAAGAGCCAGATATATCATCTCACATAGATCTGCATCTGATTAATCACCCTGTTTGCACTAAACTCTCCTGATCTTTAAAGTCTGCTTTGGGCCTATTTCCTCACACAGTATTCATTAATAATATCGATATGAGGTGCACTCTATTTATCTTTGCTAGTTTCAAGGCCCTTTGACTGTATGTTGTTTCATTAATACCCTATAAAGGTATGATATGTGTGCACTGATATTGTCCAAATAAAACCACAAGATCGTTGTATAAGGGTTTTTTTTAGTTGTGTACTTACATTATTCAAAATTCTTCTTTTTAAGCCTTGAGAAATGTGTAATTTATATTAAATTAATTTTAATTAGATTAACACTGAAGGAATCCTGACCATTCGAAGCTGACTACAATGGTAGTGAAAACAACTCCCATGATGCTACGCTACTTCCTGACGTCACTTCTTTGTTATTGTTTTGATTGAGCAACACCCCCCATGTCTGGTCTAAAAAAAAAGGCCCACCTCCTCCAGTTGTTGACCTTTACCGCCACATAAACACCTGCTTCTGATTACCTCATCAGTTCCCTTTGTGGGTCTGCCCTTCAGCACATTACTCCTGACAGATTGTGCCTCGCAGCCATAGTGTTCCAGCTTTGTTGTCTTGCACTGCCTTTTTATTTTTGAGCCTTTGATCCCAGCAAGTTGTTGGACTTCTTCCTGCACAATCTCTTGGTTTTGTAGCTGCTGACAGCTGACCTGTATCCTGCCTGTTGACGAGGTAAATCCTGCTTTCATCCCTCTACAGCTGTCTGAGGAGTCTGCTGCGCCTCTCAAGTCAGAACTGTTGGAGAGAATAAAACATACACAGCAACTGCTTGATGTAAAATCGTACTAAATGTGATCAAACATTTGATTTCCCATCCTATTTAGTTTCAGACTATCAGATGATTCATATACTTTTCCAGGAACTTTATCATCTTAATATTGTTGTGTGTAACAACACAGACACATCCCCCCTGCTGCTCTAAACACTTGATGTAACATGAATGGATGGATCAAACAGAGGAGCTTTATCCAGCTCTGTGTTTATAGCTTGCCATATGTTTCCAGTTTGTGCAAAACATGATGAGAGCCGTATCTGAGACCACCCTGTGTAATTACCCACGACAGGATGTGCAGTAGAGGGTATCGCAGCCCAGGGGCCAGTAATGTAATCACCTGAGTGAAGTAATCACAGTGGGCTCTTACACTCTCTAAGACTGAGAATACAATGGAAATGCATCAATTCAGAGCCCCTCTCTCTTGAAATGTACTATATTTATTGTTTCAAAGTAACCTTTTGGAAATGATATTCCCATGTACAGTATTAACGTCACCCTCTAGTATTTTATTGCATGTGGTTTTTTGGAATTATTTACGCGATTTAATTGAAAATGAAATGCAAAACTGATCCATAATTTCCTTTTAAATTATTAATGTGTGTATGTATTCTATGACAATAACACAAAGCTGATGGTAGAATAGATATACCATACATGTAACTTTTTGGCATCATTCCTGAATTATTAAATAAGAGATATTATTTATTTATATTTATTTTACAAGTGAGTGAGAATAAGGTAATAAATGCAAGACTTGGACTGACTGTGTGCAGTGGATTGAATTCAGTCAGGCCTTGAATATTTAAAGTGTAAAATAAATGTCCTGGAAAAGGCTTTGGCCCGAGGCTCTTGGGGGACAGCGACACATATTTAACAATCTACTTGATTGCTCACTTAAGATGTCTGCTGTCCAAAGGGTATGGGAGAGGGAGCTTGGCAGCGACGGTCGGGAACTAGATTGGAAAATAATATGGTCCAACTGCAGCAGTACACCAATAAATGTCTTCCTAATGACGACTCATCTTTATCCCTCTCTTCGAAGCAGTGTGGACTGCAGCTGGCAGGGCTTACTGCAGCTAAAGAGACCTAACTGATCATTTGCTTTCTCCCCAGACTTCTGATGATTGAATGCTGGATGGCCTCCTATGAGTGTACAGTATCCCTTGCAGGGTCTTTTAGGGACCACCTTAAAAGGAGAGCTTTTCCCCCTCACACTCCTCCATGGCTAGGAGCCTAAAATCAGAGCTAAGTTAGTGGACTGTGGACATGTGGTTGTACTTCATTCAAGGATTTGTTTTTAAATATTTATTTAAAGTCTTCTGTTATTTGTATTTGCTTTGTAATTTATATTTTCCTTTTAATGCATCTTACCGCACTGTTGTTGTTGTTTGAAAAGACTTGTCTTTTCTGTAATGAAAAACTTTTTGAAGACAAAAATCCTTTTTAAGAGAATGGTTTTATGTGAAAAAAGTATTCATGTCAACATTTGGTGATCTTGAAGATCGTGATTTCTGTCTGTAATATGATTATGACGACAAGCTCTGGTTATATAACATTTGTTTTACGTGGTAATATAACTCAAACATTAAGAAATAGTTTAAAACGTGTAAACTGAGACAGAATGTTCATTGGGACTTCCGCTGGGGCCCACGGGTCTTAAACAGGCGGTCTGCGCCTTTTAGTGACGGGGGACTGTGTAACATGAGTCGGGATGAAAACTATGCTCCGGATCCGGCAGCCAGTGCAGATGCTGTTCGCCAAAGACAGAGAGGAGGTGCATGATGGAACCCGTCCCGCTGCTGCTCGTCCTACTCTCATGTTTGCCGTGCGCCTCGGCAGTATACACCGGGCCCCTCCAACCGGAGATCTCCAATGGCACCTTCCACCACTTCTTTGTCCCGGACGGAGATTACGAGGAGACGGTAGACCCGGAGGAGTGCCAGATGCTGTTTAAATTCTCGGACGTTTATCCCTGTGGGGCCTCTGAAGAGAGGGACTCCGTAGTGAGGGACGACTTCATCATCTCCAAGCTGCAGGCGGAGGACACGGCGCGCCTGCTGGAGAGCATCGGCCGCACCGTGACGCAAGACCTGGACGGAGAGGACAGCTACGGCAAGTTCCTCCAGAGGGAGATCTCTCAGATCGGCGAGGCTTTTTCAGACGTGGACAAGTCTCTGCTGGAGCTGGAGGTAAAGTTTAAAGAAAGTCAGGAAACAGAGTTGAGAGAGGAGCAGCAGCTGAACGGATATGTGATGAAGCAAGTGAGTGACATCCGGGGAGCTCTGAGGGAGACTACTGACATCTCCGTGGGGCTGAAAGATAAACACGAGCTGCTGTCTCTCATCATCCGCAGCCATGGCACCAGACTGAGCCGCCTGAAGACAGAATTTCTCAATGTTGGCTCATAGTGTGCTTATTGAAAGCTTAGTGTGTGTGTTTGTGAGGGAATGTGTGTGAGTGTTTGAGAAACAGACCCTCCAGTTCAACAAACAACTGGAAAGTTATGTGTGGCTTATGAATAATATCTTGAATATCTCTGACCTTTGGTTACCCACCCCTTGAACATGTGACATTGAAGGAAGCTATAACACAAACATGAAGGCATTCCTCTGAGTCATGAGGGAAATGTGAACATAAATTATATCTGCATGGAGCCAAGACTTTCAAGTGGAGTTATCAGCATCTAAATCTATATTATAGCAATTGTTTTGTCTGAATGGTTTAAATTATGTTGTGTATATACAACTTAACTGATACAATGTTTATTATTCATACAATATCTTAATTTCCCCTTTTACTTTAACAAATGTTACTCATACTTTACTTATTTGTCCTGAGACACAAACTATACTTTATTTTTTAAAACAATCTCCACCTTTTGAAGTTTGAGGTTTACATAAACAGTAACAATAAAAATGTTAAAAATCGGAACTTTTGATTTGTCCGTCACATCAAATCAAATCAAATCAAATCAAGTGCTATATATATAGCACATGTCACAAGTGTAGTTGGCACTTAAAGTGGCAGACCTGACTGTCCCATCGAGTGGACTTGGTTAATTGACGTCTAAAGTCTGTCATTGCCTCCCATTTCCATCTGGAAGTCATCTACTGGAATATAAAGTATGTTTGTCCAAGGCGACCACTGTCGTCATTATCTATTCCTTTCTCTTTCATGATCTATAAAGTGTGTGGTTTATATGAAATGTCTTTGTGTTGAAATTCTGAGTGGTTTTGGATTATGTCACTGTACTAAAAAATATACTTATAAATGACGTGCAGCTTGTTTAAATCTCTTAAAAATTCAACTCTCTTGCTCTTCTGCTGTCGACATACAAATTATGTTTAGAGACATTGTTTATAGGAGGAAAGTTGTTTTAAAATCGTATAAAGGCATTAACTCTACCCTGCAGGGCCACACAGACACATAAACCTACTCTCAGGATGTTTTCATTTGCACTGTCTTTCATTTAATATTTGAAATGCCTTTTGTAGAAATAAGTGTGGTTTCTGTTTTTATACCGTTTAAAACTCTCTTGTTCCAGTCAAAGTCTGTAACAACCACAGAGTAACTGCTATAAGCGTGCCCACTTTTACAGGTCGTGTCTGTGCAGATGTGAGGGAGCCAGATGGGCGCAACTGGGTGTGATTTCCTCTGTCTGGTTTTCCTCACAGCCCAGCTTCCCCTTGGGGACCCTTTTTAAAAAACATTTCTCTGTAGCTCAGCACAGTGTTGGCCAACCCTGTCAAAAAACCCAGAGAGAAACCCTATATGGCTCCTAATTTCCAGAGCTACTGCACAGGGCTCACAAGATTTGATTGAATGATTGAAAGTTAGATATTTCCACTGAGTAAGGAAAAGGTAGAGCGTCTCACTAAACCCACGCATGCTACTTAATTTGTCTTTTTTGGCTCAAACAGTTCATTCCACCTATACAAAAATGTTTCCATTGATTTGTTTAAGGCCCCTTATGCTGAGATGGAGGAAGGTCTGAGCCTCAAGGACGCTGTTAGAAGAATTAATTCTCCTCACTGAAATAATTCTAAGGACAAACAAAGAAAGGTCAGGAATGCAGAGCGAGGTTGACCTGAGAGCACTGATCCCTCTCTGTGCAGAAAATGAAGCCCCGAAACCACAGGCCTCTACTGTGTTATTATTAGAAAGATGAGAGCTATTTGAGAGCTGCTACTAGTCCCACCATTATTATCCCTGCAATGAATACTACCGGATAATACTACTAATAGTGTAACCATCTGTCAGCTACATCTGCCACTATATTTTTTACAGTATGCAGGAGTCCTTGTTGAAAAAAAACCTCACACTTGAATGACAATAGAATGATTTTGACAACATAATTCTAAATTAAAAGGAAATTGTTTCCACCTTTAATCTGATATCTAATCAGATTTGAGGGTAAATGTATACATTTGAAGCAATCAGCCCCTCAGTGTGTGCTAAATTGATCAAGAAAGATGAGTTTTTTGCTGCAAAATCTGTTGTTCTTCCTGCATCCAGCAGCATCATTTGACCTGACAATGATACATTTGTTGTTAGGTAGAGTTTAGTCTCCGCCTCTGAGTAACCAGAGCCTGGGATCTCGATGGCAATCAAAAACAAAACTTCATCGTGTTGAAAACTAGCTCATTTTGCAAAAAGAACACCCCAGACAATGACAATGTTGTGGACAGAGATACATTTGACAGCATTCACATTGGCTCAGATTCTCAGCCATATTTGTTTGCGCCAGACTGTATGGCTGAAGAAGTCAGAGACAGGCTGAGGCTGAGGCAAGAGGATTAGCCGAGCCTTCAGGCAATGCTTTCTGGTACCCGTAAGAGAACTCTTTATTCAATATTACACACACTAAGAATTATAATGCTTCAATTGGCTGTATTTACCATTAGCCCTGTTTGGACATCCACATAGATGGCAGATACATTTCCCTTTAAGGTTAACTTTCTGGCTTGTTCAGGAGGATTTTGACCTTATCTCATGGTCCTCATCAACCTGGTTACTAAGCTTTTTTTCCCGGAGCTTTCAAAAACTCCCACTGGGCAAAAAACATTCTCTGAAGACCATGAAATGTGGTTAAAAGCTTTAGAAATGGTTTAGGAGTGGATCTTGAGTTAAGATCAGTCATTTTAAACTGCTTCAATTCAAATCTGGATAAAGTAGACCCCCTTTTACCAAAGGTAAAAGTGTGATTTATGAAGAAATACCCATCTTAAAATAATGTTCATCACATTAATGTTGCAGCCGATACAGGTGGAGCTTATCATAACTTTAAATACTTTTGGTGACAATACATTATATGATATTATAATATAATTTATGATTTGTATACAATATTATTATATATATATTTGGTATTGAAGTGAAGTAACTTGTAACTTATACTATCAGTTGAATGTAGTAGGGTTAAAGGTCAAATTGAACCTCCAAAATGTAGTGGACTAGAAGTACAAAGTACCTCAAAATGGTAGTTAAGTAAAACACTTGGTGTAAATGCACTTGCTTTCCAGCACTGCTCAGTCAGCCATATGTACTCAGACATGCACTCATGCTCACTTTTGAAGCACTGGGCATTTAAAAAAACACAGTTCAGGGTAATTATTTCCACGACATGTTTCTGCCAGCAGTAGTCACTGTGCAGAGTGAACTGTGACATATGACTGAGCTCATGACATTGAATGCACTCTTTAAATAGCCAGGACTTTGTGTATAAGTAAGAGGGCCTTAAATGACTTTTTAATACAGTGAGCACATCCAGGAGGTGCAGGTGTTCTGTGTCACTGTTACCAGACAGAGTTCAGAGCAATGCAGCAATGTAACACTGCAAAAGGACCTCTTCTTCAGTATAGGTTTAAGATGTATATGTTATTCCAAATTACATTCTTACTTTTAAAACATATCAAATAATGTATAATACTTACAAAAACAATGTCCAGTGGCCACTATGGTTTAATCCAACGACAGGGATGTCCTTCTAGGCTCCAGCGGAACATTATAAATCTGTAAAGATAACAAAATGGGATATTAGCAACGCAATAGTAAAAAGGAGTTACTAAGTTTGGAGGTTTTGTAAGTTTGGGTTGCTTACATTTGCACATTGAAGTGTTCAGAAGTGGTTATACAAAATAGACTCCTTGTAACACTAACAGAAACAGCTGCTGTTGATGCTTTGACTCCATTAGCAAGCCTCTCTGCTGACATACCAGTGGACTCATGTCATAATGCAAGAGAAAAGATGACCTCAAATACGTTTATATGGCGTCTGTTCAGTGTTACACAGCAAGAAAGAATTGTTTTGCAAGGCTGTTTTATTTTTCAAAAATATTTTGATGGGAGTAAGACCTCAAGAACAACAACACATTTTCCTCAAACACAGTTTGGTCTTAATGTTCATATTTTCCTTGAATAAACACAAATGCATCTGCATACAATTCAAAAAGTACATGTATAATTGTTTTAAATGGGTACATAATGATACACAGTTGCCCTTTCAAATGTGACGTTACACATCCATATTTTGATACAGATTTCAAAGTTGTGCTATTGATTGTCTGCCAGTGTTTATTTTTCTCTTTTTTTCTTCTCCCACTGGCAGACTTTACAGGAGGACATTTTGTATAACTATTATCCTCTTGAAGAGCAAGCAATTAACACTGAACAGTTCATTCGTAAAGAGAGGACAGGGGGAAAGCACCAGAGGAACTGAAATCGTCTTCAGCCAAATGTCTCCTCTTTTTATTTTCATGTGAGCGAGAGTCCTGTGCTTTCTCTGTGCCAAGCTGTGCGAAGGCTTTCCTGCTCTGAGTCCCTGTGTGTAACTGTCTGTGGAGCAGGGCTCGTCACGGCTTCAGGATGAGACAGGTGTCTGTTAGATGTGCGTCGGCCTGTCACACACATCCGTTCTCTGGCCTGGGCTTGTGCACCACTTGGGTGTGTGGAGGGTAGAGGGAAGGAGCGAGCGTGCACAGGAAGCCAGCCAGCAGCGTCAGGCCCAGTCCGCCCCAGGCACAAAACATGGACCAGCCATAACCGTGACTGATGTCCTCTGGTATTCCAAACATGTAGCGAGGATAGCGGGACAGTTCAAAGTTGATGCCAGCCACACATGTGCAAAGGGAGATAATGCAGCATGTCCCTGCCAGAGAGGAGAAGGAATACAAAGTCAGACAACCCATTTTAATTCCTCTGATGCATCACCCTCTCTTTCACAAAGACTTTACTGCCCCTCTGTGGTGATGCAGGGTAGTGCTCTCTCTTCATACCTTACCTCCCATGAGGAAGAGGAGTCCGGCCACATACTGCATCAGATCATGCTCCTTGCAGCAGCCCAGCACGCCTATGACCCAGCCGAACAGGATGATGGATATGGCCATGCCTATGAAACTGGCAGTCATCCTCTGGAGATCTGCAAAGAGAAGCGACAGTGTTTGTTGGTGCCAAGTGTCTACATGTATTCATCAGATTAGGAAAAAACGCATAATGAGCAACTCACGGAGCGCGTGCCACTCATCCTGCCTTATTGTCTTAGTCAGATTGATTGGCAGGTTTTTGGGCAGCGTTGAAGATGAGTAGTAGTATTTTATTCGTGTGCAGCGTGGAACCAATCCTGTGGATGTAAACAACACAAAGAGGATGTCACATAAGCACTGAGATCAGATGAAGAGGATATCACAAGGCTCTCTGCTGCCACCCCCTTCCCTAAAAAAAAAGAAAAACACACACAACCCCCTTCTACCACCACCCACCCATCCACCCACACAGCATTGTGGAGTAGCTTATTGTACTCATCTCTCGGGTTCTGTTACCATAGCTTGCCCATTTCGTGCTGGAAACAACACGGCACGTCAACCTGTACTGTAATACTGCGTAGGCCTCGAGGGTCTGTGCGCAGCATCAGCACCTTGGATAGCGCATTCGTGCACAAAGTGTTCACTGACAGCGCCTCGCACACAACAACACAGATGTGCAGAACAAACACAGTTCAGCAGAAAATATGCCCATTAGAAGCCAAACCTTTAAAGATAAAATCCTCTATCTCCAAGTCAAATCCCCCTCGGTGGCACTTTCTCCACAGCCCGGTGATGGTGGAGTTGAACTGCCGACTGCAGAGGGACTCCATGGCCGGGGCAGGAGGCAAGAAGTGCCGCTTAGCCCGCAGCAGCGTCTCGCCGCTCCTCCACTCCACATTTCTCTCTTTTGGCAACATGCGAAGTGGAAGATTGTTGTTGGAGATGTAAATGTAGCCGGGGTCGTTTCTTTTGTTTGAGTAATTCTTGCAGCGCTCCCGGTGCCTCCTCGCATCAGTCTCGTACCAGTTGTCCGTGCTGATCGCCACTGCTATCAGTCCCAACGCGCAAAATGCCAAAAAGAGACCTGCCACGGTTAAAGTCCTCATAGCAGCCATGTTCCATACGTATCTCGCCTCGGTACCGTGATAGATCCACGGGACAGCAGGGCTCCGCTCCTGGCTGCTGCTGCTGCTGCTGCTGTCACTATACTAGTTGAGGTGGGGAGCAATTTCAGCAATACATGGAAATCTGAAATTCCGATGAATCCCCGAAGCCATCATTCCTCAAATGTGTCAACTGATGACGAAATAAGCCACATTCCGATGCGGGGGATAAATAAATATGGGCCTCGATGAGCTATTTTGGTTGTCTCCTCTCTGCCTCTGAACTCAGTCTAGCCTAGATACTGGTCAGTCCAATATTTCCTCCCAGTAGATGGAGCCAGAGCAAATGTTTGAAAGCACAAAAAGCCCCAGAGCTGCACTTACAGTGGAGCATGATCTGAGAGGATGGCTGAAGTTTGACACAGTCACTACAGGAAGTACCCACCCTCAGCTCAAGCTTCATGTTGTATCAACTCGGCTGCTGTTGTCTAAAATGTTCAGTTATGAAACATTTGAAGACAGTCCAAATGAAACCAAACACTGGGCCTCATTGTCCTCTGTCTGGTAAACAGGAAACAGTTTCATCACATCCAGCAGATTTCCTCTGGTAGCTTTCCATCCCAACAAGGCAAAACATATCAAATAATAGAATATCATTTGTTATCATTGTTTGATTTGACATAAAGTATCATTTCTTTGTAAAGCCTTAAAAAGTAGTCGTCTAGTATCTATTAAATACAATCATAAAGTATTACTTTTAAGATCATAATGTCTAACATCTAACAGGAATATTACAACACAAAGAAAGGACACAGTGGCTCCGGACATTTCAGTCATGTTTCACTGGTTTCATTCTCATGGTCAATACTTCCTCAATTTAAACCATAATGCCAAACTAAAAAGAGGAACAAGCTCGAATCCAAACTTTATTTTTGGTTTCAGCTCCTATGTGCAGTAGCTCTCATGTGCTACATGAGTAAACTTGGCAGGGGATTAGTTGTGATTAATATTAAGAAAAAAAGCAAATCATATTTTCCTGTACCGCAAGTGTAAGAAAGCCTGATTTGTGTTAAATTAAATAACAATTTAAATGTGTTAAGGTTTTTCTAAGGTCACATCACTGCATCCTGACAAAGGGGGAAGTTGAGGCATACAGGGCACACCATTGAGTATGTGTGATAACAAGAAACGTCTATTTTAACAGCGTGACTGTTTGCACAATCATTTTTGGATAGTTTATATATGCCTATAGTTTTTTTGTACAGTTAAGTGAAAACATAATGCTTAAACTACACAATACCTGCTGCTATAACCATTTCTCTGCAATAACAAAGTGTTTAAATAATTGAAGATCAACTGTAACCGCCTATAATCTACTCTCAAAAAAGAGGAATCATTGTGAGCCCTTGCACAAATACCTCTTTTATAATGCAGGAAATGTATGTACGTATGATTGGCTAGATGACATTCGGCCATCAGGAACTATCTGATCATATGAATTCGACAATTGGTTGATATGAACGCAGACTGTGTAGGGTCCAGCTTGTTTCTCACTTTCAGTTCCCTTTTGTCTGGTGAAGCCATCGACGTCGCGTGTTTCGGTGAAGCAATAGGAAAAAGTTAACGTTCATTACAAACTTTAAGAACCAAGACTCTCATGCTGTCTTGTTTACATGATGGAGGGATATGTCATATCATCTGTAAGTGCTGCTGCTTCATTGTTAATTGGCTTGTCTTTGATCATAGTTTGTGAAATGTAGGATATGTTTCCATTTGTTCTACTGTTTTTGGGTTAACATGGCTAGTAATCAAGTAATTCAAGTGACCAAAGTGTGGCATTGAATTTAGTTGATTGATTAACATGAAGGCTTTGTTTGTGAGTTTTGTTTGTGTTTAATGCGGACGTATATTTATTTTTGCTGTGAAAATTATAATTGTTGCTGTGAAATTATCTCCTAGCAGTACTTGCCCTCATGTGGACTTATATATTTCCCTTGGGGACCTCTGTTCGGCTTCTTTATTCTATTAATGTTCTTGTCTTTGTGTTGAGATTAATAACGATCAAGCCATGTAAATTCTAGTGCATCAGCTAATTGAAATATTTTTTCTTAATTTTGCCAGTACAAAGAGACTCAAACAAAATCAACTTTTTCTCCAATAAAAGGTGTCAGAGGGAATCATTCCAAATGAACCAGAGAGTTATCGCCCCCCTACAGAGCTGTACCCCTACCTCACTAATGTGGGGGAGATATATGAAGGTGAGACGATTGGTTTCAACAGTAGCAAAAATCATCACACTACTGAGTGCCTTACCTTCAGTCACTTTTCAGACCACAGATGGACTTTCCACACGGAGCGTGTCCACCCGGCAGACTTTGAGAATTCTCCGGTGAATCACCTCATAGAGCTTCAGTCCGTGTCTCCTCAGCAGCTGGTGCAGCCGTACCGCTTCAGCAGCGAGTCGCTGCCCCTTCACCTGGACCCGCCACTCGTTCCTCTCTCTGTGTCACCACAGGTGAGTTCATGTGTAGAAATGAGAGGAAACTACTGTGAAAAGACTAAATCTTTACATATGTGACTTTTGAAATGATAAGAAGAGGTTCAGTAAGTTAAAGAATGTATTCAATGTAATCTTATTATAAACAGTAGCATTAATTTTTGCACTGAGGTAGCAATATGTCTGTCAAGTGTTCAAATGAAGCCACTGATTATTCATTCAGTCCATAACATGTCAGAACAATTTGGAAAATGTCTAGGATTATTTTTCAAAAAGCCCAAGTTGACTCATTCAAAGCATGCACAAATAAAAGCTGAAACCAGGGAATTTTTGTTTCACAGACAAAAAAAACACTCCTTTCGTAACATTTTTGCTGATACTTTACATAAAAGTGTGGAATATGCTCCAGAATAAATTACTAGGTAAATCAGAGAGGGTTCTTTGGACTGAATCTATTGCTGCAACCATAATAACAACATATATTTTAGGAAAAACTCTTGAAGAAATCGACATGGATTTAGATAATACATAAAAGCACTTTTATCTTTCCAAATACAGTGCATGATTTGGACAGTCTGGAATATTTTCGCTTAAATGTCGTCTACATCACATGGTCTTACAGAGCATTGAATTCTATTTTGGCAGACTTACTTCCTCTTTTAGTACAATGGGGTAAAATGTCAGACGTTGGGCGATTGCAAAACAAAATAAATGTGCAGCTCTATCACTCCTCTGTGTAAACTTCAAACTATGACATGCTTTACATTTCTCCCAAAGATCCCATATTACACCCCATCCATGTGCTACCAGTACCAGGCATCTGCCTCTCCTGGACGTTACTACTCAGAAGAGGAACAGAGAGGAGTCAGCCCTCCGTTCGAAGTATCAGAAGGAGAGGATGAACGAGAAGAGCACAAACACTCCTTCAGGAGGGACACTAGTGAGTATTTCCAAGGCTTATGACATGACTAATGTCCTGAAATCACACATACACATAAAACCTGGGGAACCTGATGAATGCCGGACAAAAGTGTGTAAACAACTTTTATATTTTCCAACACAGGCAACAAGAAGAAAATCCGCTTGTACCAGTTCCTCCTGGACCTGCTAAGAAAAGGTGACATGAGTGACAGTATCTGGTGGGTGGACCAGGACAAGGGCATCTTTCAGTTCTCCACAAAACACAAAGAAGTCCTGGCCAGCCACTGGGGTACTCAGAAAGGAAATCGCAAAAAAATGACCTATCAAAAAATGGCTCGAGCTCTGAGGAACTATGGTAAATCTGGAGAGATTAAGAAAGTAAAGAAGAAGCTAACCTACCAGTTCAGTGAGGATGTGTTGAGGAACCTCTATTTACGTCAGTATCCTCACTGATCAGGGAACAAAGGCTGTCTGTCATCGCAATGAAATCTCTGAACTAGCCATGATTGCTTTTTGTCTGTTTTCAAATTTGACTTTGTTTTACTGCCTAGTTTTCTTGCCTATTTATTTTGGATGTTAGTGTATATCCTCTTTGGCAAAGCATTTTAAGACTGTGGACCTCCAATCAGAGGAAGTTTGAAAAATAGGCCCTCTTAGTTTACTTGGATTTGCTCGATTCCTGGAGGCTAATGGGAGCATGAATATGTTATTTGATCCGATAGAGACTCAACCATTCAGCCAAGACAGCATTATATTGTTGTCAGACTAGATCAAATACGTAAAAAAAAGGTTTGTCTTAAACTACCCCCAAAATACTGTATATTTACTATCTCTTTAACCATATTATACACATTTAGGCTATTCTATGAGATCTTGTTTTGCTATGCAATGTAATATTTGTTCACTTCTACTCACTACTGTAAGTCCGACCTCAACCTGTTTGAAGCCCCACTGGAAGCCCTTCTCGAACTTTACAAAAAAACTCTGCTCCACAGCATTCAACTCCATAAACTTCCATATTACAGACTCAGAGTTGGGCCGTGTAAATTATTCTGTTAAAAGAGAATTCAACTTTATGGACAGCTAAAAAAAACACAAATATTACAAATGTTTTATATGATATTTTGTTATAAATGTGTGTAAATAAATACTATGTTCTATTCTTATTCTGTCAAATTACTCAACTGAATCTAGGGTTAAAACCGTGGGTCAAACCAGCACACGTCCTAGCCACATCCTACAAGTCCTTATCAGACATCCATGGTCCTAGCCCTCAGTAGATGTGTTTATGTTTTAGAGTTGCAACAGTTGTGTCACTTATCAATTAGTCCATTGATAGAAAAATAATCGACAATAATCAAATTAGATGTTCAAGTAATTTTTCATGCAAAAGAAAGATTTAGCCTGATAGGAAACATGGGTACAAATTAATATCTTGTTGTTTTTAAGTCTTGTTAAAATTGGAGAGCAACATACAGATGCAATCATGTAGAATATATAGGCTACACTTTTTTTGATATATATACTATTAATGAGTCATGAATGATGATAAGACAAACAGACAGTGGCGACTGCTGACACTAGGTGGGGCACA